GCCAACAACCCCCGACCAGTAGGTGCCGACCAGCCAACCGGTCGGCGGGTCGGCCGCCGACCAGTCAAGGGCCGCCAACCGTCGGGGTGCGCATCCCTGCTGTGCAGATCATAGCAGGGCGCCCATCCTCCCTCCCCATCAGCAATCAGATATGGAAGATGGCGCAGCACTTCCTCACCTTCATGGAGACAGCAGCAGATCACACGTGTCCTCGCCAGGTAAGTCCAGGTAAGCTTTCCCTCATCTACCGTCAGCCTCACAGCCCGGATCCTCCTCCTCCTCGCCAATCATCATCACCTAATCTACATATATGTGGTTATGGCCACGCCAACATAATATCCCTCTAGCCTGGCCCCCAACAGCAGGATCTGGCACCAGCATCCAACTCCAGCAGCCTCCCGATACAGCACTAGCATTAAGCCAGCGCAATGCAGGATGCCCTCCCCAGTGTCTGACTATCCTTTTGTAGCGTTGACGAGTGGCGACTGGCGTGGACCAGTCTCCCATTTGGCCGTGTCGACGCCACAGATTTGACCAATCTCGACGCTACAGATTTGACCAATCTTGAAGCAGCGGTACCTTTTCCCGGTCGGGACTGGAATCTTCTGGATACCTCAGACAACCATTGATGTGCATCTGATCTATGGCTGGGCCTGACTACTAGGTTGACTTTGACTTTGGTCCTGTTTTCCTGTGCTTCACCTGACTCTTGATTTTCCAAATTTCCAAGAGTTAACTACCTCACGTGGGGGCTCTCGATGCTACTTTCTGGCCTTTGACCAAAGGTGACGACCCTTGCCCGCGACGGCGTGGCCATGAACTGAGTTTATTGCATTTTGTGGTATACCGGGCTAAATTGCGTGCAAGGAAGGGTTGTCACACAATTTGTATTCGGGTTTGTGTCCTTTTTGCACAATAGGATTTTTTAGCGCACCTTAGTAGGCACATTAAAGATCGATTTAAGTGTCGTATCGGGTTGCATGTGCATTTTGTCAAGTGTTTTCGGTTAAGCCTTTTGCACGGCAACTTGAGTGAAACCGCACTTCGAATTTTGAATTTTCTGTGGGACAATGCGGGCATCGACAAGGCACGACATAGCATACATTTCTTTTTGTAGAAATTCATGACTGTGCGTATCTAGGACTTCTGATTAGCGAACAGGTATGAATGAGGGCTCCCAGGGTTCTTGCTGCTTTGCCTTGCTGCTTCTTGCCTTATCAGGGTTAAAGAGTTCTGGGAGATGAGAAAGATGGGACTACCAACCATCCATCTTTCTCTCTCTGTTCACTCCCATTTGACCCTGGACAATGGCAATGGGGACACGGGCAAAGCCCCTCCCGCTGTCGAAACATACGGTGAAAGACTGCTACAGGAAGACCCACAGAACGACCATCACAAACTACACAGTTCGAAACAGATGGCAGAGAGGTTCCCAACAGTCAGACATTAAATTGGCAAAGCTTTACGGGCACAGTATGCCTGCCTGATGCCAACCGTGCAGTGGACCCTCCAATGACAAATCATTTATCGCTGCCTGCCAACACCGGACTGGGTAGTGTCAAGGTCCCAACTAGAACAGAAAGGAATCTTAATGCTAATCTGCACCTACTGTGGGTCGTCCTTCCAGAGACAAGTAGCATACCTGGAGCACTGCCTAATGTATGGACGGATGGTGAGACAGATCTGGCAATGGCGGTCTCACGGCACTACCTTACGGGCTCACACCTACCATGGGTCCAGGTGCTGCTCCTCCCTGGGCACCCATCCAAGATTTCCCCCGATTGCATGCCTTTCCAATAGAACCTCTTCAAATGCACCCGCTTAGAGGTTCTCATGACCGCCTGGAGAGCCCAAAGAGCACACTTGTGGCTACGTACAGGCGAAGCAACACATGAGAGACACCCTACACTCCAAGCGCAAAGAGCACACCTTTGGCTACATACAGGCGAAGCAACACATAACAGACACCCTACACTCCAACATCCATAACGCATGGAACCAACTGTCTGATTTCCTAAAGATTTCAACGGACCGGTGCGAGGGTTTACCCCTGCAGCATAAG